CCTTTGTAAAACCTGGCAAGCGACAGGACTGTTGAAGAAGCATTTCATCTCCCTGGGCATCAGGAAGCGGCTGCAGATCTGACTGCTACTCTTCAAGGACAGTCACATGTGGGCTTAATGGGAATTAACAGATTCCAGAGATCGTAAATGAATGTTCCCATTAGGAAGGATGCTTTTCTTCTCACCCTTTTTGTGTGTCGAGATCGATATCTCATCAGGGGAAACCTTCAACACAGAATGTTTTGAACGAGTGTACGATAAGTAACATTCTCTTTACTGCATGTGGGCTATAGGAAAAAAAGTTTTCCTGGTATAATAAGTAGAACAAAGATCATTTGGGAATAAAATGTATCTGTTTGATCCATTTGATAATTTCCATCTGGATAGCATTTGTTTCCCTCAGTAAAAGGAATGGGAGCTGCCTATTTCTAGGCAATCTGTTAAGTTTCTTTCATAGAAAAGGGCGGTTTAGCTTTTCCTTCCATATGGACATACGTTATTACATTTACAAACATGTTGTTCATCTTTTTTTTTTCAGATCCTATAAGAAATCTTAATTCCTAGGTGGGTTGGGATGTGGGTTGGATATTCTCTTTTCTTGTTTTTTCCATAAGTCCTTAAGAGAGAAGAAAGACCCTTGCTTTTCTGTATAGATAGGTACTAGTTAATTTACTAAACCAAAAGAAACCTTGCTTTTCAGAGCAGAAAGAAAGTTAACTGTAATAAGACCAGAATAATCATTGTTCCTCTGGGCCTGACCATGCTGGAGGAATACAGGTCTGCACGTGTGGCTCCCTGCTATCATGGAATCCAAGTCATGAAACCTCTGTCATAAATAAGGCAAGTTCTACCTCAAGATTCCCCCTCTAGAACAGTGGAGTATTCTAAACATTAAAAAAATCGTTATACCACAGAGAAACTGTTTTCTCAGTACAATGAGGTGATGCTGGTTAATGCTGTGGGTTTGCCCAGGGACTACTGTATCTTGTGCATTTGTAGCATTTTTAATGAGCTTTTGAGAAAACTTGTGTATCAATGGGAGAACATCAGAGCTGCTTTGCTCTGGCACCCTGGGCGGGCAGGGGGGTCTACACTCTGCTTCTCGTGCTGAGCAGAGTTGTTCCAGCAGGAATTCCTCTTGCCCAAAATATCAGGAGCTACCCAAGTGCAACAAGCACACAGGCATCGGTGCTTTGTCCTGCAATGCTTCTATTTGGAAACTGATTCTGTTCTCTTCATAACTTTTTTTTTGGAAGTGCTTCTGTCTAAAACCTTTGGAAAAGTACAAACCCCTCTTTCTAATATTCCTGCAAAAAATAGGATAACCCTATTTTCTTTATGAAAAGGCAAGCTTGGAATTTCTTTTCCTTTGGCAAACCCGTGTGCTGTAGTCCTGTAGAACTGGAACATTGTATGACTACCTGGAGCCAAGGAAAGGGGCAAAAATTAGGAAACGAATATGACTCTGTGCCTGGTGTTTTAGGGCCACACCTCCTTCATTTTCTTACTAGTAGGCCATAGACACTGCTTATTCTCTCTTTCTTGGTTTGCTTTGGTAGGTGTGCCCAGACAGCTCAATTGGAAATTTATCCACGGAACAGTTCAGAGTTAAAACAACTTTTTTTTGCTGCCACTGATAATCATTTGCACTACCAGCAGAAGTTGTCACCCCTAATCAGATCCATAAAAGCATGGATGGCTTCCAAATGCACTAATTCATCACCAGAGTTATGATTTTAGCAGCAATTGCTCCTTAGCATTTTGCACCTGGAATTGTTATTAATTTTCATATTTATCAAATAGCTGTAAATTCAGACCTCTAGGTTGCAAGTACTTGTAAGCTAAAGAGGTTTGTGAAGGATATTACACTCCAATTTCAACAGAGGCTTACCCTGATTCTGTAAAAGTTCAGTTAGGGTCTGGTCCTCAGAGGTTTTTCAGTGCCTTGGCACTCACATATTTCATCAGTGAGTTATGACTTTTGGATTTCAATGCTTTTTTGTTTTTTCCATTGCCCTGTCTACATTTTGGTAGTGCTCAGACTGGACACAAGTAATCTGAGAGAGAGCAAGCTCTGACTCTGTTGCATGATGGGTTTGAATTGAGTCCAGGCCATAACTCTCATGTTTGGGATGTGCAATCCAAAAGACAAGCACAGTTCCTAACTTCCAGAAAATAGTGGGCTTTTTTCCGTGTTCAGACCTTTAACAATCTGCACCAGTGAACAGAGCCATGTCACAGACAGCTGGTGAGGAAGGCACTTGCCTCTTTTGCAGTCTGCATCTGTTGTTCCTCCTACATGGGAAGAGGGGTCCCACCAGACCTCACATGCCAGTGTCTCAAACACAAGATTTTCCCGGTATGATGAAACAGATCTCTTTTCTGAGAAGCTCTGAGATTTCTTGTTATTGGAAACAAAAGATTTAGCTGGAAAAAGAGGATTCCACATTAGCTTGGCTATCTGTCTTCTTCAGGAGTGCTCCTAACTGTCATGGTGACAGGAGGTGATGAAAAAGAGAGTTGATCGGGTTTCTGGTGGCAGGAGATCTCATTATTCACAAAGTCCACAAGCCACAGGGAAATTATGAAGGATTTAAGGCTAGCAGGCTGAGTTGGCTAAAGGTGTTTCTTTCCTACTCACTTTAAAGAAGGAGAGGAGGGAGAAAAAAAAGATTTAAGAGAAGAAATGATGGAAACAACAATGTGTCCAGAAGCAGAAACAGAGGCTGGTGGAAAAAAGGACTAAAGGAAAACAGGCAAGCGTGTGTCAGGCAGGACAACAATTTGAACTTGAATCCTTGTTTCTCAGTTCTGATGATTATGTTTTATAGAACATATATATACTTAATTTTTAGCACACATTTAATTCTTCAGTAGAGCATGGTTAAAATCAGAAACATTACAATTTGTGGTGAAGATATAAACAGCTTCCTTCAGTGATGGAAGGCTTTTTATACTGCTAAATGGCCTATATCAGAAACAAATAATATAACTACTGTAATTGCTTGTCTTTCTCCATACTGGTGTTTGCATGGAACATTTTCAACAAGGTACCTGAAATAATATTCAAGATGAACTCTAATTCTGGATTGCCTTATGTGTATGTTGCTCATGTAGTAATTATAAAGGGAGAAAACACAGGTTTTATTAGATTTCTTAGAGATGCATTTTAAGAAGCAAATGTCATATGATGCATTAGGCTAGTCTTCAGAATGGGAAAAAAAAGGAGGAAGTGTCCTTCTGAATTCATGGCTGAGACAGTTAATGCAAACATTTTTCACATGAAATTCGGTCTCGCTGTGGAGGTCTTTGTCCCTCCACAGCACACAGCCAGAATTAGAAGTCTTCTGTTTGTTTGACTCAGATGGGAAAGCTCCTGTGCCCAGCTGCATGGAGCCCTGGTGCTGAAGGCTCCATTATCAGGGAGTGGAGAGGGAATGGGTCAAAATGAAGAAACAGATGCTGTCTAGGCAGGAATTCCCACTCGCTTTGTTTAGTCACCTGGCTGTTAAGGAAAGCCCATGTCAACGTTTTCAGCTGACAGCCTTTTCATAAGATTAGCTGTGACAAATACAACACTTTGTTTCCCATTGAGAGAGGTGATGTTTGTTACTACTGAGTCACTTAAGTTGCAGTAGTGGATTTTCTTTTTTTCTTCTTCTGAAAGTATCTTTAGATGAGATAGAAGTAGTATCTGGTTAGCAAACACAAATTAAACAGCCAGTTGAAGCTTTCTTCCTTTGCCAGAGCCCTTACAGCTCTCTTTGTGCTCTCTAAGATTTTACCCAGGCAGATCGTGGCTTTTTCAATCCTGATGATGTGTAACAGTTGGATCTGGCTAATATCTATGCCCTTAATGAGTTATTAAAGTGGGCAGCAGCATTAAGAATTTATTTTGTACCTTTTTCAGATCTTTTAATTATGAAACAGCACTGGCTACTGCTGCTAAAAAGGGCTTTGCTGCTGCTGAGTCATGGCAGGACAGGGCTTGTGCAAGTTGTACCTGTGTGGTACCTGCACACACGCTAACACTGTGGCCTGGACATCCTTTGAGCAATTAAGTTACAGCATTCAAATTGCTGAATGTCATTTAAGGCATAATTTCCTAAAAATTGACTTTATTCTTACTTGCAAGGTTACCTTCTCATGTATTTTGCAGGCATATACTAGAACACAACTAGTGAAGTCAAATAGTCCAATTGTTCTGTTGTTTCTAATGCTTAGAGAATGGAAACTTGTTTGTGGATAGTATAGAAATATGCCTGTTGACAGAAAGGGAGATTAATAAAAAAATGAGCCAGCAGCTGGAGGTAGACACCTGGGGGAAGAGAAGAGGGCAAACTGATCCTTCTCAGGGCTTTTGTCACTTGCTGCTCAAAGACTTTTCATGTAGCAAAGTTGGTTTCTATACATTCAGTGAACCTTGATGGACTTTCCTTCTATTAAGTTGTCAAGTCTCTCTTGAACCCATATAAACTTTCTCTCTTTGCAGTGTATCATGGAAGGGAGTCCCAACACTTAATTACACATTAAGAACCAGTTTTTAACGAACCTGTTAGAATCATTGCACCCTGGCTCTCGTCATTCCTGGTTTCCCTCTCTATTAGGTGTACTCTTACCCAAGAATCAGTCTTCACTGTAGAAAGTAAAGTTTGCACAACAATCTGCCTGACAAACAGCATCTTTGTTCATTCTTTGCTTTTGGACTCAAATTTCCAAAGCCATTTCATGTCATATATAAACATTTTTGAAAAGTTCTAAAACCTCTCTCCTCCAAAATTGCAGACTTTGTTGTTAATGGTCATTTACTACTTTTTTCTCACTTTTTATTTAAGAGAAAGTGCTCACTGGGTCAGTTCCAGAGCACAGACAACACTTTTGGAGATATAACTAAGTTAGGAAATAAACACCTTTTTTTTTTTTTTTTTTTTTAACTATTCCAGGTAAGTACTTCCATTTGATATACTTGACATTTCTTATGTTTTGTCTCCTCTGTACAGCACCTCGGAAATCCTCAGTTTCACAAATTATTGTCTCAGGTTACTACAGGCTGGGGCAAAGGAAGAAAGAAAAGCAGAATGAGAGTCTCCTCTTGTCAACCCTTTAACACTGTGTATGTATCTCCAGGCTTCCTCTTCCTTTTTCAATTGCTACCTGTTCTGATAAGACTTGTAAAGCCAAAGCCTTTATGTCTTTAGGTCACATTTCTACCCCAAATGCCCACTCATTCCACTGTTGAATATTAAGAAAGACAGTCACCCTTTTCTGTTTGTGTTCTGTTTCTCAAACACAAGGTTTCTCAACCTTGTGAATTTAGCAGCTATTTGTTTCAGCTATTTTCTTTTTCATTCCATCCTGTTCTATTATACCTGCTTATTTTCATTCACTATTTTGTCTGTTAAATGACAGATTACTTTATTAATATAATTTTACTACCACATGTGATGCAATATTTTAATGAAAGTTTATTAGAGTGCCTAGCTAATGCTGAAGATTACTCATTACATGAGTAATGATTTAATAATCTCCAAAACACAGAATTAATAGGGAAAATCACAGTGTTGATAAGGAAGGGCTGATACTGGAAAGCTGTGTCCCTGTTGAATCAAAGCATTTAAAGCATGTGCTGAAATTGCATTGTAACTTGAATGCTGTATTGGCCAGAGGGTAACAATTGACTTAATAGTACAAAGTCAGATAAAATGTTGTGCTGAACTGGGGACACGAAAATTGACTTTCCTCACTAAAAAGATGAAACCTCCAGTGCCTAATTTTATGCTATGTCAGTGATTAAAAATGCAAATGAAAATAGTATTCTTGTCGTATGATTTTTGTTTTCTCTTCAGGGATGACTTTGCCAGTTGTATCAGTCTACATTATTTAACAGTGGGAAGAGGCAGCCTGATGTTTGATTCAGAGAGATGATGATGAATTAAGATGTTGCAATATGACTTTCAATGCAGAATACAAGGTAAGTTCAATAAAAAGGAACATTTAATGTTTTATCTCAAAAGACATTAAGTTCAATTTAATTTTTATGCTTTTATTTTTGTATAGTTTCATTTAGATAGATAAAACCATCTATGCTAATTTTTAGGAGTGTTAAATTTCAAATACAGCTCATTGATCTTGAAAGACTCAATAAAATCAATAGAACCATTTCTGGTGACAAACCCACATCTGCCATTTTTTCCACAATGGTCACTGACATATAATCTCTTTTGTTGCCTTACCAAAAAACAAAACAATAAAAAAAAATAAAAAATTAAGCAGCAAACTAAATAGAAATTTATGTCATCAGAATAGTTTTAAAATCAGCTTTTAAAAATTGGGCTTAATGTAATTATTATATTTTTAGCTGAAATACCATGTTTATTTATATTTCCTATTCCCCTTGGAGGCTAGATTTCTTGCTCTCATTGATTCTGGTCAATTACTTGGATTTGGCCAGGACTCGGGTTGTGCACTGTTGCTGAGTCATCCAATATGTATCAACTATTTATCTGCCTCTGTGAGCTGTGTAATGTTTACTTTGATCATATTTGAGATCCACACAGTCTTAAGTCTAGTTCCCTTCACCATACCTTTAAAATACAGCAGCTTTATCTTTTACTGAGGTACAGAGAGATTTAAGTCCAAGGTCATGCACAGTCTGTAGCAAATCAAAATATCAAAGTCTGGTCTAAATCCAAAGGCAGTGCACTAAGCACTAGATCCTCTTATGTCAAGAAGGAAGAATTGACAAATTTTTACCCAATACAAATAAATGTATTAAAAGCTGACGTGTAATTTTAATGGGAGATTGATTAATTTGCATTAACTAGTCTGGAGAAAAGAAGATCAAGGGAGAGAGACCTTATCACACTCCACAACTACCTGAAAGGAGGTTGTAGAGAGGTGGGAGTTGGTCTCTCCTCCCAGGAGAGTGACAGGGCAAGAGGAAATAGCCTCAAAGTTGCGCCAGGGGAGGCTTAGATTGGATTTTAGGAAAAACTTTTTCACTGAAGGGGTTGTCAGGTGCTCGGACAGCCTGTGCAGAGAAGTGGTGGAGTATGAAGGTATTTAAAAGATGCGTAGATGTGGCACTCAGAAATATGGTTTACTGGTGGACATGGCAGTGCTGTGTTAATGGTTGAACTCAATGATTTTAAAGGTCTTTTCAACCTAAACAATTCTATGTTTCTAAATAGTTTTAATGCTTGCTTAAGGTGCGAGACTGATTACCTGGGAGATGCAGGAATCCTATATTCATTAACAGACACAATAATTTACATTGATATAGCTATTGAAAGCTTGTGTAGGCTTGAAAGTTATACTTCTCTACAAAAATGAGAGTTCATAGTCTGTACTTTGATCCTTTGGTTGCCTGAATGCTTGCATTACTATGAATAGAGGAAACATGCTATTGGATTCTTTATGAGAGTCTGGTCCATCTTCCCCTATCACAAATCAGATGGTTTTCTCACTTTCACAGTAAGTCCAATGTTTCCTCTGTCTGTGCCATTAGGCCCCTTCATATCCTCCAAAGACCTGCAATGCTGTTAACTATTAGCTCCTGACAACTGGCTGGGCTGGAGACAGTTCTTGCTGCACCTCACTTGGTTCTAGGTATGTGCTCATGTTAACCAGCACATGTGTGCTGACTGAGTCAGGTTCACTTGCCTCTTTTTTTCTTATGAAAACTGAAAAAACTTGCCAATTAACTATTGAAAATGCAATCTATTATCAATATATAGATTTAGGACACTATCTTCTTTATACTACTTTGGTATAGATGCACTATACATGGGGTACTCTACTACTATTACCTGTGGTTTAAAATTATTTACTCTTTGCAATTCTTCAGCATCTTCCTATGCATAATTAATTTTAAATGTATGTCTTTGCTGCCCTTCCCAGTTCTCTAAACATAGTTCCTATGAGTATAACATCACTTCTAGTCATCCTGTCATTTGGATTTATGGATATGTCATCTGAAATGACTTATGAATTTTCAGAGGAATGTTGTTTCCATCTTCTTATCAAGGCCTTGGTCCTGCCTTGTTAAAGACAATAGTAGTACTATTTTCTTTACTAAGAACAATTTCTAAAATACAATAACTTCTGTAACATGTGGTTTAAGATGTCTGTATAGACATGCACATTTGGGAACAGCTCTTTAGGCTGTTTAAATTGTGTGTCATCATACTAAGATAGTAGTTGAAGAATTATTATTGCTTATAATTGCCATATGTTTGTGTCTGGTTCTTTTGGTCAGCATTTATACTGTAGGTAGTACTCAGGAGAATTTTTTGCAAGCAGAAACTGCAGTTTCATGACTGTTGCCCTTGCTCAGCATCAACTAAGCGCTGATTCTTTGAGCAGTCCTCTTGAAATCCATTGCTTCCTGAGGATTAAGTTGCACTTTGCCGTGAAAAGCTGAAATTCAGTCCAAATAATCCAAATTAACTGAATAGACTGAAGATGTATACACTGACTTAGAAGATCATTTGGGTATCTGCACAGCCCCAGTCAGAGGGGACCTGGCATGAATATGTGCCACTTCATTTATGCAATGAACACTGGGTCAAGTCAGAGGAATTCCTATGGCTTTCTGTAGCACAGGTCCAGCCAGACCAAGCTATTAGCTTCCTGTGAAAGCCTGGAAGTGTATCTTTTGTTTGAAAATAGCCTGAGAGTTGCTGGAATTCTAAGGATGTTTAATTATTTAAAGATGCTTAAGCAAGTCAGTTATCTAAATATGCATGTGGGGAGGAGGGGAAGAAGAGTAATGACTGCAGGTTTTGACCTAATATACTTAGCCTGGGCTTTCAATTTTTACATATATATTGCTGTCTTTTGTTGCCTTTCTGCAGTAATTGGTGATTGTGAACCAGAGGATAAACTTGAAACCATATATTAGAAAGCTTTAATAGGACAATTTCTAGTCATCTATTTGAATATCATTTGAATACTGGCTGTGCCAAGGCCCGAGAGGCTTTTATGTTGCTTGTCTCCAAGTCTGACAGAAGATTTACTTGCCCTTGAGTCTATCTAATCAAATCATACTTTATCACTGATAAAGTAGATGCTATGAAACATACTTTACTCTTTAATAACCACATTAGACTTCATGACCACCAAAGGCGATTATCTATCCTGTATTAAATAAAATAAACATGTGCTTTCCATATCAACTTATTACCTACTTTTGTTTTCTGCCGTGGTTATACCCAGATGAGGAATTGTGTAAATCTGCCATGAGTTTAGCAAGTGCTAACATAACCCAAGTCTTTGTTGAAAGACATTATTTATTCTATCAATATTTAATGTGGACCAACCACTGACCTGCATAATTTGATAGAGATGGGTGAGCTGCTCCCTGAACACCTCTAAGGCTCTCATGCTTTCTTCACTTTTTAGAAGTGATGTAAGAAAATAAACATCAAACTCTGTGTTCGGGAAAAAAATGTGAAACAAGCTATTAGTACTTGGTATTGCACATATATTTTCCTGTCCTTTTTCCTGAAATTCTTTTTCAGCTCATCAGTTTCTCTTAGCTGATTGGATGTCCAAGGGCTCTACTGGCACACCAAGGCTGGTTACCAGCACACAATATGTGACGTACTTTCTCAGACACACATTAGCTTCTGCTGGGATTTGTGGTTCTTCCCCCAGTGAGCCCCTAGCAGACATCAAGTTGTTCGTGATAAGTGTCGGGATGAGACTAGGTCAGTTTGCTCTTGGTAGCATTACTCCTGCTTAGCCTTATCCATGCTTTGTTGGCTCTAAATGCTGAGGCAGCTTTCGAGTCTGTTATGGCAGCTCTTTAAGAGCATCATTTGCAGTTATTACTCTAAGTACACCGAGATTATGTTTATTTCTCTGAACTAGAGTTAACCCTAATATTTTTCAAAACAAATTCCATGAAGTCATCATTCATGCTGCTTTGCCTATATGTCCTTTTTCGCAGGTATGTTAATCATCTTGCATTATATGATTCAGTTTGTGATCTAAAAATGCTATTTGACCCTTTCTTTCTCATGTCAATGCCCTACATCTGTCCTTGGAAATTCAGTAGCATAATTTCCACTGCAGATACTTGTTCCTTTCTCTGTTCACTGTATGTGTGGGTGATAGGAGTATGAGAAAAAAATATTTAAATGCCATAAACAATATAGCCATGTGACAGATTATTTTATCTTGTCCCTTTGCTGTCCTCTCCATTTGGTCTCTGCTTTGGGGGTGTCTTCACAACACTGAGATAGGAGCTGCCATTAAAAATTACAACAGGAAAGATCATTTCTTTTCTATGCCATGTGAAATTCTCACAGATACTAAATGCTGCTTTGCAGGTCCTGTGAAGGGGGTAGGATTCTCTCAAGGGCTGTCAAATACAAGCATTTTTATGTCAAGGGTAATTGTTAAAGTCCAGGATATTATAGTATTCTCTCCCACAGGAAAGAGAGAACTTTTTTTTCAATGTGATTAACACTTTCAGTTCCCTGAAAGATTGAGATCACAGACCTGAAGACATAATAATTTTTAGCATGGAAGAACTGATTTAATTTATAAACAACTTAATGACTTTTAGTAAGCTCTTTATAGCAGGAGTCCAGGTGCCAAAACCTAGTGCAGTAAAGCCATGAAGTAATTTGCCAAAAATATGTTTTAGGAATTTCTGAAGGAGATACTAAAGTCTTTAAATGGTAAGGATTTAAGAAGAACTGTATTATGCACAAGTGGTCCGACACTCCTGTGTAACCTAAGTGTTACAGATAAAAAGAAAACTCAATTATATTTCTCCTCTTTATCTCATTTCATATAACCTATATTACAGAGTCGCAGAATCACACAGAATCACGGAATATGCTGAGTTGGAAGGGACCCTCAAGGATCATCAAGTCCAGCACTGGATCACCCCGAAGAGTCACAATGAGTGCCCAAGAGTATCATCCAAATATTTCTTGAACTCTGCCAGACTTGGTCCTGTGACCTTGGGCAGCCTGTTCCAGTGCCCAGCGTCCCTCTTTCTGAAATCCAACCTAAACCTCCCCTGACACAACTTCTGGCCATTCCCTTGGGTCCTATCACTGGTCACCAGAGAGAAGAACAGATCAGTGCCTGCCCCACCTCTTCCACTCACAAGGAAGTTGTAACTGCAGTGAGGTCTCCCCTCAGTCTTCTCTTCTCCAGGCTGAACAGACCAAGTGACCTCAGCTGCTCCTCATATGGCTTCCCCTCAAGGCCCTTCACCATCTTTATAGCTCTCCTTTGCACACTCTATAATGACTTCATATCTTTCTTATAGTGTGGCACCCAAAGCTGCCACAAATTCAAGGTGAGGCTGCATCAGTGCAGAGCAGAGTGGGACAATCCCCTCCCTCGACTGGCTGGTGATGCTTTGCCTGATCCCCCCCAGGACATGGTTGGCCCTCCTGGCTGCCAGGGCACTGCTAACTTATGTTCGACTTGCCATTGACCAGTTCCTTTCTTGGCACTGCTTTCCAGCATCTCATTCCCATTCTGTAAGTACATCCAGGGTTGTCCCATCGCAGGTGCAGAATCCAAGACTTTCCCTTGTTGAACATCCTAGGGTTGGTGATTGCCAGTTTTCTACTCTGTCGAAGTCTCTCTGCAGGGGGCCCCTACCTTCCAGGGAGTCAACAGCTCCTCCCAGTTTTGTGTCGTCTGCAAACTTGCTTAGTATCCCTTCCAGTCCTGCATCCAAGTTGTTTATGAAGATGTTGAAGAGCACAGGGCCTAAGATGGAAAGAAATTACATATACATACTACATAGCATACAAAGTACTGCAGTCTTTGCTGCTGCAATTAAATAAAACTCCTTTCAGGGCAAAGAATCCAGTATTCATTTATTAGCTTGGTGTAGTATTGTATCAGAAAATGTTGCGTAGTGAGTAGTATTGCTGAAAAGACTACTCACTTATTTTGCCTTTAATATTTCATCTCTTTCCAAACTCTCTTAGAAAATTCAATCTCTCTGTGTCGGTTTCAAATCAGTGTTCAGCCTGCTGGTGTTCCTGGTTTGCTTTCTGAGAAGACAAGTGTCCAATGCAGTTCTGGGAGGGAAGCCACGCAATTTGAAGCTCAATCTTGCTCTAAAAAGCACTGGCCTGTTGCCATCTCTTGTAAGGTAGCACTTGTGTTCTTCATGGGAAAGTTAATACCAATGTTTATCCCCAGATCATCTCTCTCCAAGTCCATGTTATTGTCTTTTTTGCAAAAGCATGTTTAATTTAAATACAGATATATTCTAATAAGGACACACTTTTACGCCAAAGGACCTCTCAAGGGTCAGTAGTATATTAAGGTTATTCAGCAGAAATGCACAAAGTACTTTAGTGCTACTTTTTTTTTTTAACTCAAGCATCTGTTAGTGATTCCTGACTAGATATCATGTGTCTGAGTGAACGCAGTGTCAGTGCCTCATTAAAGGCAAGTTCCAAGCAACAGCAGATGGGGTTGGAGTTGGTTTTCTTAAGGAAAGTGAGAGCCAATGGAGTTTGGTTTCAGTTTTAAGAATTGAACCTCCTGCCCTGGTTAACACTGAGATATTTGGATTTCATACAGATTGATAAGGAGATTACCGTAATGGGAAGATAAAGAGCGACCTCAGATCACCTGATTAGGACCTGATTTTATTCACTGTTACATGAAAAAATTGTTAGTAAGGGCAAAATGGAAGAGCACTCAGATATGGCAAATTTTGCTTTGAGAATTCAATAAAACTGATACGTAAAGACTTATGGGTTAGAAATACATGGAGTTCAAAGTTTGGAAGCTTGGTTAAGAAAGTTATGATTTCTCTTTCTGAAGAAAGTAAGAGGTGAGAAAAATGCTGGCCTGTGAATAAGAGATTTTAGTCAGGTCTTTCTATGCTAATTCAAGTGTCTTTAAAAGTCAGGTTCCTGTAGTGAATGAAGAAAAAGAGTGAGAAGACCAGATTTCCTTACTAAGAATGCTTGGTGTGACATCTGAGTTTGACTTTGGGTTTGTGTGGAAGAACCATTACACAGCACTGGCTATGCAGAGATTTCCCCCTAACCTGGGCAGTTTTGTGTTAGACACATCCTAGAACACAAATGGAAATAATAAATGCCTGCTGTTACCTGTGCCTGTATGCACAGGCTGACATCAGTAAGTAATGATAGTTGTTTAATGTTTTTACTGGTTCAGTTTTTGAAATGCTTTGTAGTGCTTTTGACATGCCAACAATCTAAGCCTTCATCAGGGAGCTGTGGCAGGTCCCTGTATCTTAAAATACTATATATGATATTGTAACATAGGTACTTAGATCTGAAGGTGGATTTGTTACCTGGATCAGAATGACAAATGTTCAGGCATGAACGTGCTTGGTAATGTTCCCTTTTTGCTATTGCTCTGTCTCCAGAAAGGAGATCCTCTGATTTATTACTCCAGGACATGCCTCCCACATGAAGTGTCCCTGCCCAGTATATGTCATGGGAAGGGCACAGGCTGTGCTCTATATTACCACAAAAATACAATCAGTCAGCCTGCTGGATTACAAACACAGCACAAATTTACTCATTTGAAACAGAATCTTGTTTAATTTTTGATTTTTTTTGTTTTTACCTTTGAAATCAAAAGGGGAAACCATTGATTTCATGCAATTTCAGGAGGCATTAGTCTTGATGACAAATGTGAAAAAAATAAAAGAAAATAGTCTTGATTCAGACTAATAAGAAAGGGATGTCTTCCTTGTTTATGCTGTGAGCTAGTCAAGGCAAAATAATTTTACTCATCTAAATGACAAAGCAGGGATTCTTGTGTGTTTATTGCCATACAGCAGATTCTGCAGGTTTGCTGGTTTATTTTTAAATAACACTTATAAAGCTTAAGTTGAAATTTTTCACACAAAATCTTTAGTCTCTGATTATATTTGATTATATTCAACAGATGAAGATTTAATATTTTTAAAAAAATCTTTAATATAGTTTAAGGCCCCTTTTTAACATAGATATCATTTGAACTATGTCAGATAAAATGGAAAACTGTCTTGGCAAATATCATACAAGACTTAATGAATAGAATAGACAGCTAATGATGAAGGAAACTAGTCGTCTTGGGTAAAGTCAAAAATTCCGTGAGTGCTGGTAGACAATACTTTTTTATTTCATGGTTTTTATAAGAAGTGTTTGACTCACATTATAATGGGGATAAATTGATCCAGTATTAAGAAGTGTTGTGGAGGGATTTTCCAGAGGTGAAGAACTAGGGTTCTATGTGCTGTGTTACCAGTTGGACACTCAAAGTCATGCTTTTGATCCTCTTTTCCCCTTTTGTTTAGAGCTCATCTAGGGTAAGTTGCAGAGTGTGCAATAAGAGAAGGACATAAGTAATGAAGTAACACTTCTCTTGAGCTTTACACTCAGCAAGAGATGGAAAAAATTTTATTCAAGCTTTAGCTAATAAATATATATTTACATTAACTGTACAAGGTAGCTTTTGCTTTAAACCATAGTAGATGTGATATTTTTAGATGGAAATGTAACTTTCTTTGGTGAATTTTTCTCCTTAAGTTGTATATTAATTTATGTAGCACCATTTATAGAGGGCACAATATGCTAGTGATTCCCTTCTTCCTATATTAGGCCTCACTGATTTCCTGAAGGAGTAATATGAGAAGTAATGTCTGCAGTGCTAAATTTACAAATTTACAGACACAGTTGTCTAATTGGTGTAAATCCCTAAATTGCACTCTGATTGAATTTGTTGGCCTGAGTGTTTAGTTTGCACTTTTGAAATTCATCTCCAGTTCATCTCTTTGTTTCACTATAGATAAAACAGTGCAGTAGGCAAAATTAATTTGTTCCAAGTGAATCTAAACTGAAAAATGCTCTCCAGCTGGTGATGGCTTTCAGTCCATCAGATCAGATTTTTACATTTTAACTGTGTTTTAGCTGTTTTTGTAAATCACTAAAGATAACTTCTAACACCTCAGGACATGAGGCTCTATGACAACAAAGGTGTATTCAGTGCTCTCTACCAAAAGATTTTAAGATTGTCTAAAGAATGTATATTTCCTTTCTCCTAAATATGTTTCACCAAAATAGGATATGACTTTAAAAGCAGGTATTTGCTAAAAAAAAAAACCAAAAAAATTTTGTAATCAGATACTTTTCAGACAGTTGCAAACATATGGTCTTTGTTCTCATGATCATACAATCTTGAAAAAGCTGTTGTAACTTGGAACCAAAAAGTTAACTTGCTGTTAATGGTATATTACTTACTTGTCTGCTTTTAGTAGCAATAAAATAGCTCCTGTTAAAGTCAATAGTAAAATACAGTTCAGTAAGGCAGGATCAAAGCTCGAATGAATACACAATTTCCTTGTGATGCTCTTCATAAAACATTCAAGTTTTGTCCTTTGTACATAAGTAGTGGCTCCTGAGAGAGAGCTTTGTTTCAGCATCAGGAGCACACTACACTGTCTCTCTGGTAGCAAAATCACTTTAATCTGGAAGTGACAAACAGGAGAGATTAATGGCTTCAATTTGGGCACACACAGACAAGTACCACATGGATTCTTTAACAAAGGCAGAACATGATTGCCTGGGATTTAAGAAAGAAAATACTGACTTAGTTCATGAGCTTAAAATATGCATTATTATATAGCTTCAAGTACTTTTAGTGTCACCATAGAGATGGGAATACACAGAAAAACTGCTTAAGTGTACGTTTAAGTATAAAATGAAATTTCATGAACTTCAATATCAAAAGACACTTCACTAACATTAGAGATAAACTGAGGGGTTAGGCGGGCATTTAAACATTGGAGTATTTGTTATATCATTGTTTTTACAAGGAGACGGAGAGACCAAGTGACTTCCCCAATATTTCCCAAGAAGCCTGGGGAGGAGAAAGGAGCTGAACCCAATTTTCTTGTGCTTTAGATCCCAGGTTAGACTAAAGAGTGACCTACAAATTCACTCTTGTGACCTACAAAGTAAAATGCAGATGGTGTCAGCATTGCTAATTGTTGATGCAAATCCTGGTAGAATGGAAAAAAAATCCAGTCTTTGCACTACTAGGGGCTTTAACTAGACATCTTTTTAGACAGATATTTTAGATAAGATATTTTAGTCTAGGTTTATCAACAAAAGTCAGTGAAACTTTCAACACAAAAATAAATTACAGAAGTTTTAGACATCCCTTTAATACATCTATGTATAGTTTTCCTTTTCTTTGCCTTGTTTTCAGAGATTATTTGACCCTTTTCTGAAAGACGGGAGAGAGGGGCTAGGATTTGAAGGAAGGTTGCAGAAATGATGTTGATAGATTTTAATTGCTAGCTAGTGTGCTGTCTTTTTCTTAAGTCAATTAAAATAAAAGGCTTAGAACACGGGAGGGTGCAAAGAGGTGAGAAGAACTGATGTATGATCATATTAGCTGGAGAGGTGTAATGTTCATTTTCAAAGGCACAAGGGAGTGCAATGATGATGGGACAAAAA